TTTTACTAGTTAAATAGATAAAAAAAATCAATTCTCTTGATGATCTTATTGTATAGTTGTGAATTTTGATAGATATGGAGCACATTGTGATCTAAGGAAAGAAAACATAAACGTGTGGTACAATTCTTGAGATTGACATGAAGAAGATAAAAGGAATCATGAATTCCAATTCTGTTGGAATGGAATCATAAATTCCAATTTTGTTGGAATGAAATCATGAATTCCAATTCTGTTGGAATCTAAACTACAATTTGGTTTTGTTTTCACAGAAATGCTTGAAGAACGGACCGCAAAATTGAAAGTGATTCTAAGCAACATTATTCTTTTATAATGTATTAGTGTCGTTGTTAGATGTTAATGTTTTCTTTCCCGTTTTGACAGTTTTTTTAGTTTTATTCTTTAACAATAAATGTAATTATTAACAATTGTTACCCGTATTCTATAAGAAATAATGTATCTTTTGTTTTTATTCTTCAATTAATTGTTCAAGAATTTGTTATTCTACAGAAGTTTTTAAAAGTCATGATCAAGAAAAGGTTCGAGAGAGAATTATTTTTATTATTTAGGGTTTCAAGAATATTTTTTATTTTTGAATATACTCAAAAACACATTCTGTCAAAATGTTCGAATTAAAAAAAATTATAATTCGGTAAAATCGTGATTTTTAACATTAATGGAATCTATGATCCCTTAAAAATAGCAATTTTACTTTATTAAATCTATATTAATTGACTAAAATCCCTTGTAATTCAATTAGATGATATTTTTCAATTATATTTAATTCAATAATATATATTAATCCCTTTCTTAAAATAAGTAAAAAATTTGGCCCACATTTATGATTACAATAACACAATAATTACTTTGAATGGAATAAACTAAGCCTATATATATATATATATATATATATATATATATATATATATATATATATATATATATATATAGTAAGTTCAATTGAGAAAATAAAAAAGGTTGATAATGGGGGAATCATTCTCAGCCACTCATTTAATCTAAGCATAAAAGACACGGTGGCCAAACTTGTAATATGATAATAACCTTCAATCTCAAATACGTAACATCGATTTCTTTGTTGAATACTCCGAATTTGAATTTCCCAAATTCGCAAACGAACTCAATTGGAATCGAAATGTCTTTGTTGTTCATGAAATTGGAATTGGAGTTCTGGACTCGCAGTCACAGTCGACATTAAAGGACTCGGAATCGGTACTCACAGGTTCCTAATCGGATTTTCGGAAATCAAAATCAAAATGTGAAATCGATCAGACATAGGATGTCGCATCTGAAGTCAGAAGCTTTTGAAATTGGAACATATATTCTAATCGGAACAGTTGCGTCTTGATTATAGTATTACAAAGAAATCTGGAATCGGGATTTCAAGGTTCAAAATTGAAATCGGATTTTTTTTGGAATGAAATGAAAATCGGAATTGCACGCTTCAAAGTCGAAATCGGAAGTATATGATGATTTGGAATTGATAACTTGAATTCGAAGTATCATGTTTTTAACATTTTTAAAAAAGTTAACTTGTATACACTCCAACTGTTTGATCAAATGCATAAACTAAATTACCACGTTATATTCACATATGAATATGTTTTCCGACCTGAATCAGTATATGTATTAAAAAAAAACAAAATATGCAAGTCTGTATGTTATTCATATGTAAATAACGTATAAAAATTATTATATATTTGTGAAACACATTGTAATATTCATATGTGAATATACTGTGTAATATTCATAAGTGAATATATCATATAATATTCACAATGAATATACTATGTAAAATTCACATGTGATATACCATGTAATACTATGTAATATTCACATATGAAAAATATGATTATAATATTCATAAGTGAATATACCATCTAATATTCACAAGTGAATATGCTATGTAATATTCACAATTGAATGCATCGTCTAATATTTAAATATGAATATACTATGTTTATTATATGCTATATTCATATATGAATGATATTTAAATTATAAAAAAATTAATCATACTTTTTATTCATAAGTGATAATGTTTTTTTTCCGAAAAAAATACATTGTTTGAGGTCCTAAGCAAGTTTGTAATTCATAGGAAATAACATATAAGAATTATATCCGCATGTGAACAAATATTCACAAATGAATATATATGTAATATTCAAATGTGAATATATATGTATTATTCACAAATGAATAAAACTGTCAATAAACCGATGACTACAAAATATATAAAATTAAAGATAAAAAAAGTATTTTATAAGAATATATTTATTCACATACACTAATCTTTTTAGGTTAATAAAATAATTATATAAGCATATATATTTTTTATTTAATGTTATATTCATTGTGAATAATAAATGATAATTTTTTTTCGGAAAATTATAAAAATAGAAAAACGTCATTTTGGAGGCCCTAAACAGTCCCGAATGGCCGAAAAAAACACCGTACGTCACGGCGAAGCGGTGAGTTTTGTAAATCGCACCATTTTACATCAAATATGCGAATTTCATCCAATTCCGAGACTACTAAACTTCATTACGACAATTGTTTGATGATGTCACTAAATTTTCATTCCTACTAGTGATGACATCATCATGACATGCTATTTATTCATATATGAATAAAGTTTAGAAATCATTACGACATATTACTGATGATATTACTAACTTCAATCACACTAGTAAAACATCATTGTAATCTATTATTTTTATTTATGTGAATAAACTATACATGTTGATTTATTTATTTTGTGAATACAACCTTTATAATAAAAAATAAATAATACACTATAAGAATTGGTTGTGAATAGTTTTTTGTATATTGTAACAATATTATTTAGATGTTAAAATCAACATTATACTAAGACAAACAACATTGTATTGGTTAATGAATATCATTTGCATTTGAATTTAACACGATCAAAATGAAGAATATATTAAATTGTATAACATTTACACGTGAATATAAAAACATATTGTCTTCGTCAATGATATCTTCTCAATTACGTCAACCAATCGTCAACCACCGGGATATGAACCAACATTGATTGAAATGTTATTCTTTTATTGAGTTTATAACGATGTCTGAAAAAACATGTGAATACACATAAAAAATGTTAAAATATACTTTTAGTTCATAATAATAGCGATTTATCACATTCTAATTATCATATGGTATATTCACACATGAATGTATAATCATATGTGAATATTATATGATATATGTTGTTGTTTATATTGTATATTTACATGTGATATTACATGGTATATTCACAAATGAATATTACATAGTATATTCACATATGAATATTATATGGTAGATTCACATGTGAATAGTATATGGTATATTTACTTGTGAATATTACACATTCTAGTCACATCTAATATTGCATGGTATATTCATTCATGAATATTACACAGTATATTCACATATGAATAATATATAGTATATACACTTGTGAATATGATACAATATATTCATATTTAAATATTAAATGATGAATTCACTTGTGAATATTACATAGTATTTTCACTTGTAAGTATTAGATGATATATTCACTTATGATATTAGATGGTATATTCATATGTGAATATTACACAATTTATTCACATATGAATATTACACAGGATATTAACATATGAATATTACAAGGTATATTCACAAAATATATAATTTTTATATGTTATTCACATATGAATAACATATAAAATTGTATATTTGTTTTGTGTTTTAATAATCATATATTGATTAAGTGCGAAAACATCTTTCATGTGATATAACGTGGTAATTTAGTTTATGCATTTCATAACAGTTGGAGTGCATACAAGTAAGTTTTTTTAAAATGCTAAAAACATGATACTTTGACTATTTAAAACTTACAAAATAGTAGATTGATAGAGAATATATGAAATTTTTCAAAAAAAAATGATTTGACGTTTTTCTAACCTTAATTTAGAAGTTTTGTTTGATGATCGATGTTGAATGAATGATATGAAGTGAAATTGTTGTTGATTATCGATGATGTTGATCTAATGACACTGGGTTTATAATTAATCGTAGATGTTGAAGATATGCTCGAATTCAAGCATAATTGAAGGTTGGATTGAAAGACCCAAAAACGATTTTTTTTTGTCTACTGTTGAATGATGTTGATGAAAGTTTTTTGACGAAGATGGATGATTGATTAACACTGGATGATGTTGATCGAGGATTTAATTGAAGAAATCTGGATGATCGTTGAAGGTTGGAGAAGAAATTTGGATGATGAACGATCGAGTAGTAATAAATTTGAATTGTTATCAAATTATCCACAATTATGTATCTGTGATTGAGGATATCATATCATATTTACAATTTTGCCACGTGTATTTATGTTAAGATGCTAATTAAAATGATTGGCTGAGAATGATTCCCCCATTCTCAACCTTTTTTTTCTCAATTGAACCCGCTCTCTCGCTCTCTCTCTCTCTCTCTCTCTCGCTCTCTCTTCTCTCTCTCTCCTCGCTCTCTCTCTTCTCTCTCTCTCTCTCTTCCTTCTCTATATATATCTCTATATATATTATATAGATATATATATATATATATATTATATATATATATATATATATATATTAACTTCCTATGTATAACTTCCTATATATATATAAATGGTCTTTGATGCACCAAACCAACAACCTCAATCGCACCACTAGGTCTCTCTCTCTCTCTCTCTCTCTCTCTCTCTCTCTCTCTCTCTCTCTCTCTCTCTCTCTCTCTCCATAGAGTGCCAATCTTAAGGTATCAGCACATATGTATGTTTGTATATCATATGATCATGGTTGTTATTGACATATGTCATCTTATGATCAAAGCGTAAGTATAAAGTAATATGATTTTCATCGACTTTGACTTTTCTATATTTTGCTTTTCAGGAAGTTGAGTTGTATAAAGTAACAGCTTCAAATTAGTTTTCTGAGAGAGCTATCAAAAAAAGGATCATGAGCCGGAGAAATGGTGGTGGCAGGGGTCCGACGCTTGACTTGAAACTGAATCTTTCTCCTCCGAGAGCTCATAGACCGATGACAGAATCACCAAACAGGTCAACGGGGACTATGTCTCCTACAAGCTCTTGTTTGTCATCTGAGTTCGTTCAAGATGAGGCGGGCCTCCGCTACTCAACCAGTCCAGAGGCAACATCTATGATGTTGGTCGGGTGCCCTCGGTGTCTTATGTATATTATGCTTTCTGAGGATTACCCGAAGTGCCCTAAATGCAAGAGCACTGTTTTGCTTGACGTTGTTCATAACAACGTAAATAAAACAAAAAAATAGTTAACGTAGTAAAATAGATTTTAGAAATTAGTAAGCAATTATGTTTCTTTTCTTTTCTTTTGCTTTTGTTTTTTTCCTGTTTTAATGGGTTATGTTATTTACACTCAATTATATTCGATTGGGTACTTCATGTTGAATGAGTGGATTCTAAATAACAATTCCCCATTTTACCCCTCTTATTTTTAAGGTTAGATCTTTATGGCTGACTATAAGTCTAGAAGTGAGTTGTGCCCGGGCTATATTGGTCATTTCATAATGTAAATGGGTGATCACATATTGCCCAAATTTTCCATGCATACAACTTTTATCGCATTTATTCAGTCAAACATAAACATAAGTTCAAATTCGATCTCTATTTGACTTTAAATTAATATAAAAAGTCATATAAGAGTCCCAAAAAAATAATGAATTTTTCATATTTCTGTTTGTCTTGTATAAGTTGCAACAATTCTTGTAAAAAATTGAAGTTTGAAATCACATGATTTTCATGGCATTATAAATCCATTTCATTTTATTTAATTTAATATTTTTTTTAGATATATCAAACAATTTAAAACTACTTAACTAATAAAGCCACATTAATGAAATTATTATTATTGTTGCTATATTGCTGTATTATATAAATTAGTTTTCAATGCAATAGTATTTCAAACTAATCGTTAGTTATTGCAATATAATTTTCAGTTTTATGGCTATTAATACTATGTGGGTAACTGTGTATTAATAGGATGCCACGTTAGATGGTAGTTCGAATGTTTGACAAATAGATAGTCGATTCTTTGACTTTGACTTATAAATATACAAATATATATGTATTAAATTGTTAACCCACATGAAAAGAAAAAAAAAATCGTATACGCTTTCAAACTTTCATGATACTTTATATAAGGATTAATTGGTTCTAAAATCTAAATGACTATTTGTATATAACATTTTTTCTCCAAATACAACAATTTATGCTTTATTAGTTTTATAATATTTTACTTTAATGCATAAATTGTTGTGTATGAAAAAAAATTGTTGTGTACGAATCAGTTTCCAACTTTGGAAATAAAGTAATGAGATTGTCGTGTTTATTTCTTAAGATAATTGTTTTAATAAAGTTGTTGGTGGAGATTTAATAGCCAGTTCTTACATGTCCTCATAAATATGTAGTGAAATCGGTGATCTAGTTTAAAATTTCGAATTATACAAATGTTAATTTATTGTGGTAATAAATGAGAAAAAAAAAGTGGAGTATCTTGGATTAAAAATACATAAATGCAAAGAATTAATGAAGGCAGTTGGAAATAATGAGGATATTGCGTCACCTTGATAAATACAATTTAAATTTTCCTTCAATGTATTATATTTCCTTTTTCCATGTTTATCCTTTTATATGCATAATTATTTCCAACATTTACAAAAACAATATAGAATTTTAAATGAACATCAATACTGTAATAAAAGTTAAAAATAATTTGAAGAAATAAAATCTAATTTGTCGATTCTATTATACAAATAGAAGGGTGAAAACTATTTGTAGTAATAAATAAAATTTGAATAATTAGTGATTCAAATTAGCCTTTGTTGTTGTATATGCTTGCACGAATTCTCAACCTCTTTTGTTTTGGTAATGGCCAAACAAGAACCTGAATATTATGTCACTAATCTTAGCACATCACACAACATGATGAAGACAAATACCATAATCTAAATATATATGCGTGTGTAGAGGTCTTACAGTAAAACCATACAAAAAAACTTGTAAGCCTTTATACTATCACGATTATAAACATGCTTAAAGTTTACTTCTTATTCCCATGTGGGACACATATTCCAAGACCCATTTGTTTTGCTATATTTTATTCCAGACACTCAACTTTGAGTATCATGCCTCATTCACCGATATTCCGTTTTGGACAAAACATATATTGTTTTGGAAGCTCTTACGGAAGAAAACATAACCCACTAAAAATTAATAATATATCCTATATATTTATATTTAAATGTGTCCACAATTTAATAAAAATACATAATGTTTATCAAATTTTCCAACACTATAAAAAATAGAAAATATTTTATAAAACAAGAAGTTTTATAAACATATTGAAAAGAATATAAAAGTAGGACTTTGTTTTTCAAATGATAATTTTGGAAAGTCATCCTTTTGTTTTTTACAACCCTTTATTTAATTTATCTTATCATCTTGTGGTCAGTTGATTCATGGTTCACGGTTGATCATGATCATCCGTTTCTGTATTTTTTTATCGTTTGGCTTTTGGCTAACATGTTTGTAATTGACACATGGTCATGCTCGACTGTGTGCTTTTCATAGTCATTTGTATGTGTCTTATCACTTTTATCTAATGCAGCTTGTAGCTTCGTTTGAGAAATGTTTAAGAACCTATTTTGCTATTAAGTGCTTAATCTCATGCCGCCAAAATATTTAAAGAACATTTTATTGATCTTTAAACATTTAACTCTCAAGTCTCATGAACTTATATAGATTTGAAAGATCTAAGATCGGAGTGATTTATGTTAGTGTATCTTACATCGGTGCGCGTGTGTGTGTGTGTATATATATATATATATATATATATATATATATATATATATATGTGTGTGTGTGTGTGTGTGTATGTGTATGTGTGTGTGTGTTGGAGTCTGCCATTTTTAATGGATATTTGGATTTGTGTATTGCATTTTGTATGTGTGGGGGTGGCGGGTTGAATTTATTTTGATATCATATTCATACCTCTTTTCGTGGCGTAAAAAATATTAGTGTATGTCACATTAGTACGACATGGTCCTTTTATGTTTGTATATATGTTGGAGTCTCCTTTAAGGGATCTTTTGGATAGTTAATATGAGACTTCACATGTATCTTACATGTTATTAGAGTCGGCGTCTCACACTCTCGTGAATCAACACATCTCTATCTATCATCGTCGAACGTTCGGCTTTAAGGAGGAGTGTTAGTGTATCACACATCAGTGCAATACCATCATTAAAATGTCTATACATGTTGGATTCCGCCTCTCTCCATACGTGATTTTTTGGAGAGTTAATATGGACTTCACATATATCTTACAATTTTAACTAGAGGTTATCATTTCTAAGTGTTAGACTATTACGAAAAACCTAAATTCTCTTCTAGTGATTTGGTTGAGAAATCACAAGATTAGGTCTTGTGATACAGTTCAATTAGTTCTACCATAAAGATATTCTTATAGAGGATTAGGCCTTAAGAGTGTAAACTAATACCAACCTTAATTACCACTTTATACGTTGTGTTAGTTTGCAAATATTTCTTTCCTATCTCTTTTACATTTTCGTTTAGATATATTTATGTGGTTGAACATTTGATTTGTATATTTTCTTGAACAATATTTTATTTGTGGAGGTTTTATTCTATTTGATACTAATGAAAGGCATATGTCAAAGGGATGAAAATAGAGGAAATAATAAAATTTGGCAGAATCAAAAGAAAGATGTCAAGATATCACATTTTAGAAAAATATCTACAAATGTTAGTTTCTTTTTAAACATAGACCGACACCACACACACTCTAAACCACTATATCGTTAAGCTAAAGACTTGTTGGTTAAAAATGCTAGTTAAAATATGGACTATTAAAGTGACTCAATGTTTAAAAGTGTAAAACAATGCTATAAAGCCCATGAAGTGGAACATCTTTCATAAAACTTGTTTCGATTTCATCCGTCAAGTATATCTTATTAAATGTGAGCTATTGTTTGATCCGTTTTATACTAAATCATGCATTCATGTTAATTTTAAAAACGTATTTAAAAATGACGAATGTTGGAGTAGTAGAATATTCTTGAAGGTGATGCTTTACTCATATTTTCTTTTCAATACATGCTAAAGTGAAGCATTTACAAAATGTATTTATCATATCTATTAAGAGTGAAAATGATAAACCCATATGTTGGTTTGGTTGATTTTGGAATGACATGAAATGGATGCTAAGAAATATGTGGTAGAATACACATAAAGATTTCATTTTATTAAAGTTTGGGTTGAAGCTCAAAATATGGTTTTGGGTTTGTAACCCTTGAAGACGATGAACAAATCTAGATATGCATATCCAACATATTGTTACTAAGAGATTGATGTAGCATTACATTGGAGTTAGTCAGTGTTACATAGAGGAAGACATCATGGAAGTGTAATGGTACATGGGAGTACGACATTTGGTGTGTTTTGGGTTTGTAACCCTTGAAGACGATAAACCCTAGCCCTCTTTGAAGCTCTTGACTCATTTGGTCTGTTTTGTGGCCTTGGAAGGAAGAAGAAAGGGCTTTTGTGCATAGATCGAGCAAGCTACTCATCTCTGCTCCTTGTGTGCATCTTCCGGATCATTTGTGAGTTCTCAAGTTTTCATTTTGATGATGTTTACCTTATAGATCTAGGTTATTTGGTATGTTTTGGTCTATAGTTAAGTTTTGGACGGTTGAAAGAGATAAAGTTTGCAACTTTATAGCTCACTTTAGTCCCTTGGTCATCATATACGCTGGATCCATGAATTGGTAAGGTCTTGTTTCCATGCTTGAGGTTTTGACCTCTTTTTCACCTTCTTGACCTAGCTTGAGCCCAAGACTTACATAGGTCATGCATGTCTGAAAACGAACGATTTTTAGGATATTTTAGGCGTATGAATGGCTTCTGGAAGGCTTGGATGAGTGGGTCAAATGATTAAGGACTTATTGGTTAAGTTGTCCCAAAGGCAGCGGCCACGGCGTGGTGATTGTGTTATCTGCGATCTGTCTGTCTGGTGCACGCCACGGCATGGCGATGGTCTGGCCACGGCATGGAGGACGTATGAAGCTTGGATTGGGGTTTTGTTTGTTAGCCACGACATGGCCATGAGCTAGCCACGGGTGTGGAGATAAGCTGATGATGGATTTGACTGATGACCTTGAGGGTTGACTTTCGACTTGGTTGACTTTTGGCCAATTGTTAGTTTTAGAATGTAACTAAGGGTTTACCTTGTATG